ACTTTTTTTATTGTTTTTTCGTACATTAAACTTATTAAATTATTTATTACATTAAATATTATTAAAATAAATTATCACAAATAAAAATGTATGGCTAAGTTTCTTCGACAATTAAAAAAGTTAAAATGAATACTAATTAAATATTTTTCCACTGAGTTGCAGTCTTTAAGTGACATGACTCTTAGGAAGGTTTGAAATAATAAATTAAAAGTATTGTGCAAAAAAATGTTGTAAAAGCCATTTTAGTTAATACATCAGCATAAAAATTTTTATATTATTGATTTTAATTATAGACATGTTGTATTAAAATTAACAGCTAATTATTGAAACTACAATCACTCTGCTTTCTTGCAATTATTTGTAATAGTTAATTGGATTTTGTTTGAAAATCTAACTTTTACTTGTAGAATAATACCTCAATTGATTCGGTTAAACGACGTTCTACTGTATACCCTTAAATGATTTCGCAATAAATAAGTCTATAAATAAAAGAAAAAACTTAAAATTTTTTAACTCTTTTAGTTTTATTAACCTTTATAAAACCTTAGAGCTCAAACTTTACTTAAAAACAAACACAAAACTCCTCTATTTCTGATGTTTGTTTAAAACTCCTCACAGGTTACATAAAATGTTTCGAAATTTAAAATTTTATATGAAAATATTATTTGATTTTCATACACCGTGAAGCAGTAGCACACACAGGAAATTTTTCAAGGGGGGGGGAGGGCGTCCGGCGTCAGAAGTTCTCCATTCTTGTATCATGCTCCTTCTAATTTTGTCGATTTTCGGGAACAAAACACAGTAAAAAACTAATTAATGAATAAATAATTAGCATTAATTAATAAAATTAATCATTAACAACAAATACTTAATTAAATTTAACGTACTATATACTTAGAATTAAAATCAATCGGAAAAAAATCAAGGGCTTTGGGGGGTCCGGACTCCCAGGCCCCCCTCTGCTTGTGTGCGCCACTGCCGTGAAGTATTTTATTAATATACGCGTACATAGGATATTGAAAAGTATTATATTTCAGCGTCACAGTTAAATAAATTATCCGTCCACCTTGAGTAAAAATAAATGAAGAAATTCCGGTTTATAATGCAGAGTGCCTCACGTGTAGCCTTGAGTCCACTCCAGAAATTAAAGTCTGTAAATTGTTGCGTGGCTAAAAACGCATCGTATTGTGTATTGTATTCATAATCTCCTCTAAGTCCATTTAAAGAACACGATTTGCCGCAGATAGCGCCTGTAAAGCAGTTGTTTCCTCATCACAATCTGAACATGAGCCGTTAACTCACGTGTTGGTGTGTGTTATGATCAAGTTGTTCGTTATTCGCCTCTTTATGGGTAGAAACTGCTGGCCCATTATGAGAACACGTAAGAATATCATTAAAAATTGCACAATATCTTTATCATTGAAAAATTAATGGGAATTTAAGGACTTTCAAAAAAGAATTCTTAGGTATTATGTGAGACTCAAGATAGAACATAGATTCATTATAAGACAACTTTGTGTGAAATTATAGGAATTATTTCATTAACTTCAACATCCATTTTACCAATTATTACTTTGGTTTTATTTTTTTTTCACTTCTGTTTAAAAAAACCACTTCGGAATAACATCCTCAATTTACATGATTCTGGTTTGGGACAAATGGAATTATTCTCGCGTAAATAATTAGTTTTAAAAGCTCCTATGTTCAAATTCAGTTCGAACTTACCTTAAAAATCGGCGCATAACGCGCACCAAGACTTTGAAGATGCAATTTTTAATTTTTAGATATATTCGCCGTATGACACGCACTCCCTTTTTTACGAAGAAACCTGAAATGTACGTAATCAATGCTTTTATGTGTTTTGAAGTCATTTATTCAAAGTATTATTCAAAACTTAAGAAGAAAAAAATAGTATACTTCTAGAACTACAGCCCTTAAAGTACATATGAAATGTCATTTCTTTAAAATAAACAACATTTCGATATAAATAGAAGTATAATTTTTTCTATGCTCATCTTTCTTTTTTTTTGTTATTTTTTTTATTTTTAAAGCTGTAAGTTTTGTAGCCGGCGTATAACGTGAACCCGTAAATTTCGATATCATTTTTTTTTGTGTGTGTGTGATATTTCCTTTTTAAAATAATTTTTTTTCTAAAAAAAAATTTGATGTATTTTATATTTCATCTTATATCATATGGAAGCAGAAATTAAAATAGTGGGGTGGGAGTGTTAAAAACTTTTAAATACTCAAAAAACAATCTTTTATAAAGTGATTACGTTCAGAACCATTCACTTGAATCAGAATATACCTATGAAATAGTTGTAAGAATATTATTACAAGAAAATGAATACAATCAGACCTCTAGATAATGAAGTCGCTAAATCCCGGAAAAAAGTTCGTTATATGGAAAATTCGTTATATAGAGGTTCATCTTCTAATATACTTTATAAACCACATAAAACAATTTTTAAATTCATAAACCCTATATTTTGAAAACAGTAATTATTCACAACTTTTTAAAAATTAATTGTTTATTTTATATACCTTACCCATCAAAAAAAAAAAAAAAGACTGCAAAGAAAACAAGAAAAAAAAAAAATCTCGAAGGATTTACTGTATTTTCAACATTAAAAAAATATTTTTGTACTTAAATTAATGAATTTTAAGGACATTTTATAATTTAAAGCATACAAGTAATATTAAATATACATTATTTTAGAATTATAACACGGGACATCTCCACTGAGAGTGAAAGAGGATATCGAAGATGTTTCTAGTGAACTGGGAAATGGGGGAGGGTTTAAAGGTTGCTTTTCTTGGATGAAACGTCCAGAACTCTATTGCTCTCGGTGAATTAGGATCTAATAAAACCAGTTCACGATTTATGACCACCATAAAATGTGTTAAAGAGAGAATACCTGAAATTTTTTTCAAAAATACTTTAAAAAAAGGGAGAACAAAAATGAATCACAGAAGAAAAAGTTCGCTATACAGAAAATGCAATTTGCTATAGAGAGGTTATTTTACGAAGAAAATCGTGAAATGTTCTTGATCCCAGGAAAAAGTTCGCTATATAGAAAAATTCGCAATATAGAGGTTCGTTGTATGGATTATATAGAGGTTCGACAGTACTTAAATGCAATTTTTTTAGACAAAAAGGAAGAAAGTGTGACCTATTTTCAAAACATCCTTCTTTTAAGAAAAATGATTCTGTAAAAAAATAATATTTTTACCTATATATATATATATATATATAGTTAAAACTTCTATACAGAGACTTAGCTAGGAGTTTTGAAAAATTCGCATAATTTTCTCAGAGTTACGATCAATTGAAATAACAACCAGCATTTTTGTTAAAACTTCTCTACTTTGATGTAATAAAATATGAATAATTCCACTCCTATGCTATATATTGTAAAAATGCTAAATTAGGCTCTGTGTATAATTCAAACACATATAGACAAAATATTATTATTGTATGTACATTTTCCATTAAAAGAAGTATGTTTTGAAAATATGTCATTCTTTCTTCCATTTTTTCCAAAAAATTGCGTTTAAATAATTTTTTCTAAGAGTAATATTCTATAACAACTTTATATGCACATTCTAATTCAATTTACACTAAATATATAAAAATTTATTTATTTATACGCTTTTGTAAAATCACAGTTCCAAATGTACCTTAGTAATCACGGGGGTTTCAAACATCACTGGTTCATCAAGACATTTAGCTTGGCAATAAAGTCTCTTAACTTGGCTTTCTTTTTGGCATGATTACAGGATATTTATGCCAAAAATATATGATGTTGTATAAAGATGGATTTTAAAAACTGTTGTTGCTAAAATATTTCATCAAATCCTCCTACATATAACAAAACAAAATCCTTGAAAAACATACACGTTGTTTAATTACTCTTTTTCCTTCCAATAAAACCTTTAACATGATACAGAACTTGCAAAAAGATTAAATATATTATTTAAGATCAAATACAGAAACCTTTCTAAATGTCAATTTACGTTTCTGCCATTGTTTTAAAAATCTTTTATAAATAATATCCATATTATTATCGATCTTTTGGCAATTACAAAATCGGAACACTAAGGAATTTGAATTGGTATGAAAACCCTGGGGTGTTCTGCTTACTAAGAATTTAATACTGAGTCATTACTAAACTTTTGGACTCAACATAATCCTATTATCACTAGAAAAGATAAATCGCCATTATAACAGCTAAGGATATATTTTTCGACAGCCGTTTTATGAATAATATTGCTGAAATTTACCGTGATGTTCCATTTTTTGTTAAAATTGAGATGTTTTGTTTAGTATTTACGAAACCTATGTTTTTTTTTAAATAACTCGAAGTACATCGTGAATTAAGCTTGGATTTTGCAAATATAATTCTTTTAAAGCTGTATCATTCTATTTGTGAGATTATAATAGTGGTCATAGTCGCGAACTCGTGGTCGGTGTGTGATGAGCTCAAAGTCTAGAGCCCTTGAGGGAAGAAGGAGAGAAGGAGAAGGAGCTAACACACGATAAATCTGTCGAAGTTCAACATTCTTCTGTTGGCATGGAATTGTAGTTCAAATGAGTAAATAGGTGAATATTAACGTCACTTTATTCAGCTACACGAGGGCGTTTGGTAACGGACCTCATAATTTTAAAAGATGCTCAAGTGATGAGGACGACACCTAAGGTGGCACCCCTCTCCTAACTTCCACTCCCCACCAACTGGAATATGTTTGAGCTGCGACAGATTTAACGAGCATCTGACCGCTCTGTACGGCGAGCATTCAGTGGTATTAGGCTCGAACTCATGACACGCCAGCTACGAATCTGTTACCTTGACCACTAGAGCGCGGTAGCCTAGATGTCGTCCTCATCACTTGACCATGGTTCAAAATTACGAGGTTTGTCACCAAAATCTCACGTGTAGCTGAACAGAGCGACGTTAATATTCACTCATTCATTACCTTGACCACTAGGCTACCATGCCGCCTAGCCCGTATGGTGGATATGACCCTCGGCTTGTAACTGAGGGGATTCGGGTTCAAATCCCGAGCAAGGCATGGTTTCTTCGGGAAAAAAAGTCGAACTTTCAACTGTAATGGATTCCCGTCTCGAATGGAAAGCAGCGCACCCCTTTTGTTACATGCTGGGGTCATCATGTGTAATAAATGTCTATATCCTTCTGTTTGTATTGTATGTTTCTGTTCTTCCACCCGTATTTCATATATATCCCAGTATGTAACACACAACAACAATAACAACTAGGCTACAATGGCCACTTGAAAAGGTATAAGAACAGCTTTAAATCAAATTGCAGTTGGGTCAGCAATCTAATTAGAGGAGAAGATCAGTATACTACTTATGTAGTTTATGTAGATCTAAAACATTTATAAATTTAGATGATAATGAGTTTTTTTACTGAATACGAACCTCAATCTCCTACAAGTTTTGTTTAATAAGTTATCGTACAGTTTTTATATCCCCTTATACAATGCAATTAGTATTATGGAAGTCAGCGTTCGTATTTATATTGTTAGTTTTCAAATATAGAGGGTGGGAGAGATAAAGTAAAGGGTTAGCTAACATGCAAACGATTTCTGTGTAGATTTTTGAACAATTTCAATCCCCAAAACTCAACTATCAAAAGAAAATAATATCGATAATAAAATAAATAAAAACTAAGATAAACTTATTGAGATTGCTTGATAAAAGGTGAGTACTGTATAATTTTGAAAAAAAGAAAGAGAGAGAGAAAGAGAGAGAGAAATCTCTAATTTTCTTCAAAGTGAAATACCATTTTGTAAAAAAGAATTATGAAATATTATGAATAATCCTATAGGTGTTGAAAACTTAATAAAATACTCAGACGTTTGTTTCGAAATTAAAAGTAGATCACGCTTTTGTAGATTTAGTCTCTTGACCGTAATTTACTTTCTTCCCATAAATCGACATCTTTAAACCCTTCTTAGAATCTTTCGCAACATTTTTCCTTTAATAAATCCATTTCCTTTGTTCTAAATTCTTAAAAAAAGGTTGAACCTTTTCACAACACTATCAAGAAAAGTTTCAATTTTACTAATTTTCCCGTAGAACCTTTCATTGTTATATTTTTGTTCCAGGTATTTTATTTCTTTTATTTTATACTAGACGTTGCCATCCTGCTTCGCTGGGTAGGTCATGATGTTATATGAATATATACTGTTTATATATGCATTAATTATTGATATCTTAGCATTAAGAATTCAATTGTGTTGAAAAATATTCTTATAATTCTTGATTTCAAAAGGAGAGAACTTCTAAATAATAATTTCTAAAATTGAATTGTCTTTTACTCTCTCATAAACTCTTCCCAAGTGGATTTCATAAACCCCTTTTTAATGGATCTCAGCTCAATAAAATAAAGATGCTTATCAAATTTCAAGTCTAAATCTAATAGATCAAAAATGGAATTTTTTGTTATCAATAAGCTCCAATATAAATGTTTGAGAGCAGATTTCTGTAAAACCCGTTCAATTCAACAACAGAGACATACATACCAAATTTCATTACGGTAGGTCTAGTAGTTGGAAAATGGATATTTTTTTATTAATACACCACAAAAAAGATCCCCGCAAGGGAGTCAATTTCACTAAAATCCATTTTTAGTGGATCTATATTCAACACACACACACCATGCCAACAAAGTTTCTGTACGTCTAAAAGTTCAAAAACGTTAATATTTATCTCTAACGCCCCTTAAGACCTCACAAAGATCTTTCGAGTCGATTCTCAAAACATTTTTTGTAGCTGATCTCTACTCCATGTAAGAAACGGGCCTACCAAATTTCTAGCATATAGGTCTATAGTTCAATATTTAAATGAATAAATCCTCTTAAACCCTCGCGACACCCCTTCGGATTCAATTTTTGTAAAACCCCTTGTGTAGCGAATCTCAACTTTATAAATGGAACAGGCGTACCAAATTTCGAGCTTGTAGGTCCAATAGTTCAAAAACGGGAATATTTATATATAACGCCCCTTAAGCCCTCGTGACACCCCTTCGGGATCAATTTTTCTAAAACCCCTAGTGTAGCGAATCTCAACTTTATAAATGGAACAGGCGTACCAAATTTCGAGCTTGTAGGTCCAATAGTTCAAAAACGGGAATATTTATATATAACGCCCCTTAAGCCCTCGTGACACCCCTTCGGGATCAATTTTTGTAAAACCCCTAGTGTAGCGAATCTCAACTTTATAAATGGAACAGGCGTACCAAATTTCGAGCTTGTAGGTCCAATAGTTCAAAAACGGGAATATTTATATAAATCGCCCCTTAAGCTCTCGTGACACCCCTTCGGGTTCAATTTTTGTAAAACCCCTTGTGTAGCGAATCTCAACTTTATAAATGGAACAGGCGTACCAAATTTCGAGCTTGTAGGTCCAATAGTTCAAAAACGGGAATATTTATATATAACGCCCCTTAAGCCCTCGTGACACCCCTTCGGGTTCAATTTTTGTAAAACCCCTTGTGTAGCGAATCTCAACTTTATAAATGAAACAGGCGTTCCAAATTTCGAGCTTGTAGGTCCAATAGTTCAAAAACGGGAATATTTATATAAACCGCCCCTTAAGCTCTCGTGACACCCCTTCGGGTTCAATTTTTGTAAAACCCTTAGTGTAGCGAATCTCAACTTTATAAATGGAACAGGCGTACCAAATTTCGAGCTTGTAGGTCCAAAAGTTCAAAAACGGGAATATTTATATAAACCGCCCCTTAAGCTCTCGTGACACCCCTTCGGGTTCAATTTTTGTAAAACCCCTTGTGTAGCGAATGTCAACTTTATAAATGGAACAGGCGTACCAAATTTCGAGCTTGTAGGTCCACTAGTTCAAAAACGGGAATATTTATATATAACGCCCCTTAAGCCCTCGTCACACTCCTTGGGGTTCAATTTTTGTAAAACCCCTAGTGTAGCGAATCTCACCTTTATAAATGGAACAAGCGTACCAAATTTCGAGCTTGTAGGTCCAATAGTTCAAAAACGGGAATATTTATATAAACCGCCCCTTAAGCTCTCGTGACACCCCTTCGGGTTCAATTTTTGTAAAACCCCTTGTGTAGCGAATGTCAACTTTATAAATGGAACAGGCGTACCAAATTTCGAGCTTGTAGGTCCAATAGTTCAAAAACGGGAATATTTATATATAACGCCCCTTAAGCCCTCGTGACACTCCTTGGGGTTCAATTTTTGTAAAACCCCTAGTGTAGCGAATCACAACAGACCAATAAAATTTCACGTTTGAGGTCAAATTATTCAAAAAAGGATATATATAACGCTTCTTAAGCCCCGGCAACACCTCTTAGGGATCAATTTTACTAAGAAACCTTCGCGGGGATGCGACCAATCATTCCCCTAAGTTTCATAGCAATCGGATGAATGGCTTATGAAGAGGCATAAGAGACATACAGGCAAACATTAATTTCTATTTATATAGATTATCTGAAATATATGTACAGTAATATATACCCCGAAATTACGCCGTATGTGGGACCTAATAATAACCGCGTAAGTCGGGGTATAATTTCGCTTATAAACACATATACATTATAGAGACGAAAGAAAATAAAAATGTAGAAAATAAAACGCTTAATAAAATCTTTGGTAACACAAATACAAAATCACAAATCGAGATTATTTTGATGTAGAAGGCTTCATAAAATCTGATAGCTGAAAGATTGTTTTTTCTTGCACAAAATATCCTCGTAGCATGCTAATAAATTTTTTATTCCTTGTTTTGTTGAAAAAATTGGCACTACGCTCGATGCTGTATTTTCTAAAATTTGTAACCCTTTTTCAGTTAAACTGAGTCTTTCTTTCAAATTCCCAACAGTCATTCGATCTTTTGACTGAACTGGGTCTAAAGATTCAAGTTTTTCAATGTATTGCTCTTACTCATTCATTTCTATGAGCTCATCCATTGTCAGCTCCTGAATTGTGGGAATCCAGCAGTTTTTAAAGGTGATATCTATCCACTTCTAAATTTATTTGCTTGGCAAGACCCACTATTTCTTCAATCATATTACCAATTTCATTAGGCTCTGGCTTGGATTCCATCTGCGATTCACAGTGACGAAAAAAAAGAGGACGAGCTGAGAAAAATTGAAAATCTCATAACTCCGGGTTCACGTAACTCGAGTTATTAATGTATTTAAATGTGCTAATAGGACAAACTACTTTTTTTAAAAAAAGTAGTTTGTAATGCTTTAGTAACAAATGCTTTTTAAATAAGAATACAAATAATTTAATAAATATTCATAATGCATAAGGATATTTTAATCAAAGCATTATTAACGCATTGTTCACAAACTCTGATGTATGTGGAGCCTGTTTAAACTCTCGCTGTAACAAAACAAAAGCAAAAAATAGCTTCAAATTAGAATTATACAATTTGAACACACAAAGTCAAATAGCATGCAAATGAATCTTTAAAACTGGCAAGCTGCCTAGTTACTTAAATTGTCGCCAATCGAAATTATCTCCATTTTTTCCCATGTCATTGAATATCAATCTCATTGGGAACAATTATCTCACAGACACGACTCCAGTAACAGGAAATCAAAAGTAACAACATTAGCTCGAGACCTTGAAGCGAATTCTTGACATAGTTCATCTCGCTTCAATTGCGTAGGTATCCCCCAAAACATCGATTTTTTAAAAGACTGTACGTGATTTTAATAGGTAATGCAGATATAAGAGGAAGTAACGGTTTTATCGTGTGTATCGTGACGTTGCTTTTACTATTCCTTGGCCACGAAAGCTGTACTGCACCTGAAAGCAGCTGCTGATTTTGGGTTCTCTTTGTTTTGTGAATAATGATGCAGAAGTAGAACTGATACAAGTGTTACAGTTCACTGTAACAGGCGGGGTCGACACTTCGTTTTTAATGGTTGCAAAGAAAAATCGAACTAATTTCCATTGTTCTAACCAGTCGGTCTTGAGGGCTGGCGTTGCTAGGTTGGAAGAAAGTGTTTTTCCGGTGCTTTATAATTGTAACGTATTGTTTCGTGTAAGCTTTTAAA